AAAAAAAAAGTAGTGATTAAATAAAAATAATAATAATTTTTTAAGAATTGAATTGATTCAAAATATATAATATTGAACCTGTAATAACCGGGTAACATTCTGTCACATAATACGCTCAAAATCCAAAACGCTTGTTCTTCACTCATATAACTATAAAGAAAATAATTTAGGAAATAATAGAACCGATTCATCTAAATTTATATAAGATGAATATGTCCCTACATTAATATAGCAGATGCGACAATATTCATTGCTTGGCAATAGCCTAATTCTGGATCTTTCCAAGAATAAGCGGTCAGTACACGTCTCAATCTATTAATGCCTTCTGGTGATTGATATGCTAGATATTCGGGAAGAGATCTAATGAGATAAATAGATTAAAATTTATCATTTAAAAATATTTTAGAAAATATTTAGCGTTAAAAAATATTTAGAATAAAATGACTAACCTGTTTAAATCTTTTTCGATTTCTTCAGTGGAGAGAGTCACTTTGCCAGCATATTCCTTATGCAATCTATCATACAACCCGTTGTTCACGAATCTTAGGTATATTGCACCAGAACATAACTCCCATATTTCACCTCGTAATTTATTTGGTAATCCAATTCGGACAAGTTTATAAAAGTATGGGAGTCTAATAAGAGTCAAATTCCGGCCGTTATCTGGTATAAAAAAATATAGTCAGAATTTATAACAAAACAATCATACTTAATATGAATAAGCAAAAAGTGAGTCAAAGTGGACATACTATACATATACTTGATCCAAAGTTTTGTCTTAGGACGATCTCTTAATCTGTAAAAAAAGAAATAATAATTTAAACATATATTGATTCAATTGGATAAAAATGAAATATGAAATGAAATATGAAATAAAACTCGCATTTTGGCATCACCAGGAAATCCAAAAGTCAAACCCAAACCTCCAGTAGAAAGTTCCTTTTTTGGATCAATTAATAAAACTTCGGAAAAACAAGTACTTAAAAAAGGTCGTAAAGACTTCATATGACGAAGTTGATTTTTAAGATTATTTTTGAGAGTATTACAAAACTTTTCACAAGTAGATTTTGTGGCATTGAATTGGAATATAGTTTTCATTTGATGCCAATTTAATACAGATAAAACAAGATTATGGGTCTTGCTATTAACACGTTCAACTCTTCGTACAGTATATAATGGTATTATTAAGCAACAACCTTTTCCATCAGTAGATTCAAAAGCTAGGTAAGCTTCAGAAAGCTGAAGTTTACCAGACCAAAATTCTTTCACTTCAGATATTGAAAAATCACAAGCACATTCTTGCATTAAATGCTCAGATGAAGGTAAATTGTATAATAATCGAAATTCTCTATCACGCTTTTGTTCTTCAAGGCCTTTTTTTAGGGATGGAACCATTGGTGACAAAGGAGGATCAGATAATGAAGGGGTATCCAATTTTTGATTGTCAGTAGCATTATCAACATCATATATGGACGTTGCTGGCGACAATTCTACGGCAGCATTTTTTAATAATCGTTGCATTGA